AAACGTGATTACCATAAGGATTATTAAAAATAATAAGCCGAAATATATATCAACTTTTCTCTCAGAAATTTGCGAAGTATTATTTCCTCCCATTTGGGCGATTATAACTTCTTCCTTCTTTTCTTCTTTGCTCTGATTATAACCCATTATAATTATTGGCAATATAATTAGAGAATGTGAATGTGTATAGCTTCACCAAGATGCAGATTTTAAATAAATTTATCTCGGAATCTTACTACTGGCTTGCTGATTCGGCCGGATCGCGTTACTTTATTATTTACATGTGTCTCCTTGTTTGGAATTTCGATACTAGTGCTATCCCGCGTATCAAACTCTTCATTATTATTTTATAAAAATGCTGGCTTTAATCTATCAACAGAAACAGTAGATTCTTTGTCTGCCATTAATATTTTAAAATGTTTTTCTTTACGGTCTAATACTTTGTACGGTCCTGAATATGGTGGATTTAAGGACTTACATAATTTATCGCACCGTAAAAATACATGAGAGCATTTTTGCAGTTCAGGGTGAACAAATATATTTTTCTGTGATTTCTCTCGTTTGGGTACTGAACAAATATTACTTATATGTTCTCTCAGTTGCTTTAAAAATGTCTCGCTATCGGAATTTAGTGGCGTTGTAGGCTCAAAAAAATCTCCGGGTAGCTTAATTGGACTGCCATAAACCATCTCTGCTGCACTGGTTTGCGTACAATCTTTTAGGCTTGCTCTTAAGCCTAGTAGCACAGTTGGTAACTCCTGAACCCAATTATTGTTTCCTCTAGTCATTAACGATGCCTTAAGAGATCGATGCCAACGTTCGACAGCACCGTTTGCCTGTGGATGGTACGCAGTTGTTCGAGCTTTCATAATACCAAGGCGCTTAGATAATTGATTGATAAGATTCGACTCAAACTGTCTTCCTTGGTCAGTCGTAATTCGTAAAGGACAACCAAAACGTGAAATCCATCCTGAATATATTTTCTCTGCAACAGCCTCAGCTGTTATGTCTCTTAAGGGAAAAGCTTCCGGCCAACCCGTGGCTCGGTCTAACATCGTAATTAAATATCTGTATCCTTTGTAAAGTGGTAATGGACCAACAATATCAATATGTATATGTTCAAAACGATTGCTTGTGGGAAATTTACCAAAAGGTGATATTGTATGCCTATGTATTTTACATTTCTGACAATCTATACATGCTCGAGCCCAGTTAGCAACATCTTTGTTCATAGAATGCCAAAAGAATTTATCGCATATCATCTTTCTAGTTGATCTTATACTCGGATGACTCAATCCATGTACGGCGTTGAAAGCCTGCACTCGGAATTCTTTAGTCAAATATGGTCGTGCGAATTGTTTTGAAACTTCACAGTAAATTGATTCTTGACTGTTATGAAGTTGAAACTTTTTAAAACATAAATTTTTTAGATTTTAATAAAACTTGTAATTCTTTATCTTTTTCCTGAGCTTCGCTAAGAGCATTGTAGTCGATGTATGATGGCATGTTAATTTCAGAAATTCGTGATAACGTATCAGCAACAATATTTTGAGATCCACTAATATGTTCAATATTCGAACAAAATTGCATTATAAAATCGAAATGTCTTAATCGACGCGGTGTATCGCTGTCTGTATAAGAATTTTTTTTCAAAGCATAAACGAGTGGTTTATGATCTGTGTAGACTGTTAAGGGGCGTCCCTCGATCAAATATCTGAAATGCTTTATAGCCATATAGATAGCAAGTAATTCTCTATCGAAAGCACTATATCGCGTTTGCGCTTCGCTCAGCTTAGTGGAGAAAAATCCTAAAGGCTTCCATGTGTTGCCTTCACGTTGCTGTAATACTGCGCCAATGCAAGTCTTAGACGCATCCGTCATAAGGGCTATATTCGCGTCTGCAGCTGGGTGTGATAGTGTAACGGCTCTCCTTACACTGTTCAAATGCCGCAATTGACTCATCTGTCCACTTGACTTCTGTCTTGTCATTTTTTCTACAGTTATGTAAAAATATATTTAATTTTGACTGAATCTCTGCTGCTTGAGGAAGATGTCTTCTGTAAAAATTAATCATACCTAAAAAACGTCTCAGTTCCTCGATTGTTTTAGGCCTAGGAAAATTAATTATAGAGCTAACTCGTTGTTCTAAGGGTTTAATACCATCTTTTGAAACGTGGTATCCCAGAAACTCTATTTCGTTCTGCCCAAAATTGCATTTTGAAGTGTTAATAGTTAAGCCATATTTATTAAATCGCTCAAATACTAGTCTGAGGTGTTCCTTATGTTCGGATTCAGATTTCGACGCTACTATTACATCGTCGATATATACAAAAATAAAATTAAGATTTTGAAGTACGACGTTATTTAAAAATCTCTGAAATGTTTGAGCTGCGTTTCTTAGCCCAAACGTCATCCTTGGGAACTCAAAAAGACCGAATGGCGTAGTGATGGCTGTCTTCTCTATGTCTTCACTATTGATGGGAATGAAATGATAGGCACGTGTTATATCGATCTTCGAAAATATCTTTTTACCCGAAAGTAAATATGTAAAATCTTGTAAGCGTGGAATCGGATACCTGTCAGGCTTAGTGATGGCATTTAATTGCCTGTAATCACCACATGGTCTAATACCACCATCCTTTTTCGGGACTACGTGGAGTGGACTTGCCCAACAGCTCTTCGATGGTCTACATATGCCTACGTCTTGCATGATTTCAAATTCCGATTTTACCTTCTGATATTTGTCCGGAGCTAAAGGTCTGGGTCGCGCAAATACAGGAGGTCCTGTAGTCTCAATATAATGAACAACAGAGTGTCTTGGTGTATCTTTGAAACAAATAGGTTTCGTTATATCGGGATACTCTAACATTAAGTCGTAATATTTATTATTTATATCCAACGTAGTAATAGATGACTCATCGTGTTGCACTATCGATGTTATAGTATCTATATTTGTTATTTGATCAATAAGTCGACGACGATATAAATCTACTATAAGCTTATGATAGGTTAAAAAGTCTGCGCCTAATATTGGCTGTTTAACGTCCGCTAACACAAAAGTCCACCGAAAAGGTCGGCGTAAATTTAAATTTAACACTAACGATTTAACACCATATGTCTTTATTTCACTGCCATTAGCTGCATAAAGTTTATATTTATCACTAACTACATTGTCATAGAGTCGTTTTTTGTACGGTAACACTGAAATATTTGCACCTGTGTCCACAAGAAAACGTAAACCACTTTTGCAGTCGGTTACGCATAAACGGTGGAACGGCGATATGGTGCAGACATCCACCCTTGGCTGCACCTTGTCTAGTTTTCCGGCTGCTCCTTCCAAGCACATGGCTCAACACATTTCTTTGCTTTAACGCCGAAACGGTGATGATAGCAACATAGCCATTTCGAAGATTCGGACCTGCGGCGTCGTTGTTTGGATACTGAACGTCCGCGTGATGTAGTACGTCGCCTCCAATTACATCGAGTACTTCGATACCTTGGTCTCGATCTCTCAAGTTCCATGACCTTCACACTTAACTTGGCTATTTGTGACATAAGAAATGATGTATCATCCGATTTTTCAGCTTGACAATTTACTTCAGCAGCATGTAAAGGTCTCGTGGTCTCCATAATTTTGTCAGCGATAGCTGCAAGGTTATCTAGATCCTTTACCTCGCTAACTGCCAACACCGCTCGAACTGACGTGGGTAAATGTCCTTGCCACATGATACACAGCGTTTCATCAGGTATCTTATTACGAGCCAAATCCCGCATTCGCCTAAGAAGCTGAGAAGGCTTCTGATCGCCAAGTTCCATTTCCCCCAGTAACTTCTGGAACTGTCGGTTCTCCGACTCTTCGTAAACAGCGAGCAAACGATTTTTCAAGGTCTCATATTTATGTGTTCCTGGTGGATTAAGCACAATATCGCTAACCTGCTCGATGACTTGCTTGCCCAATTTCGGAAGCAACAAGTTAAACTTCGCTTCATCGCCTAATTTTTGAGAAGCTAGCACCGCCTCACACTGGGCGAACCATAATCGCGGCTGGTCGCACCAAAATTCCGGTATTCGCGATGATACGCTGATTGTTGCCAGTTCTGAATCTTCACGTAAATTTTCCTTCACTTGTACGACTGGTTTAGAATTGGTAGCCATCCTATATTTGTTCTTCAGTCAGGTGTTTTTTTTTAGTCGGGGTCACCAATATGTGGCGGACGTGAGGAGAAAATAATAAAGCTTTAATATTAAGCGTTTATTGAAGTGCGTATTGCACTTGCGAGACCAAGCGAGAGACTGTCGAATCAATACATATTCGATCTATAATCTAATGTAATATCTATACTTATATATTATGCTCGTTACAAATCATATTACCTCATGTTACAATAGGTACACTGAGCAAGAATTTTTGCATAATTATTATATTAGCAAGAATGAAACAATAATAAAAACATGTAATATAAATAGCGACTTACCATCGGTTCACTTAGTTGTATCTAACAGTAGCCTATGTGCTACTTCACGTGATACACAGTTTATCTGTGCTTAAAATTTCATCCAAATCTGACCAGCCATTACAGCCTTAAGGAGTAACAAACGTACAAACGTTCACATTTCTGATAGTAGTCACGTTCATATTCGAGTATTCATATGCGTAATATACCTAAGCATATAATAAAATTGTTAATAATACCAGTCTGTACGTTAAATATTTTTTGGAAAATCTTATTGAAATAGTCATTATTATTGACACAGAAGCCGAATTTATAGTTTTAGAATTTTTGTCTGTCTGTCTTTCTGTCTGTCTGTATGTTTGTGACCGCATCACGAGAAAACCACTGAACAGATTTTGATGAAATTTGGTATGATAGCTGGTTATCCGGGTCAACATATGGGTTACTTTTCACTGTGGGAGAATACCTTATCTCTGTGAAATCTATATACTAACGTTAAAACGTAACCAAAAAAAATAATAATGTTTTATACAAACCTATTCGCAGAGGACAGTAGCAACACCGACACAGACTTCGACGCGGAAGGCGACGACGACCAGGCGGAGTTCCACGCGGAGAGCGAGCAGTCCACGCACCCGGCCATACAGCCCAGGTGGCCTACTCGGGTAGGTTTGAGGAGTTATTCAAAATTTGTTTGGTAATGACTTGAGTGATTCAGGATATTTTTGTATCCATTTTGATTATGTTATATATGTTTCATATAGTAAAAGTTATGTAATTGTGATGTAACATACGGGAACCAGTCTAATTAGCACTATTTTCGTAAACACTTTATTTATGACATAAAGACTTTATAAATGAAAATAAATAAAGTAAGTATATATTTATGTATTACTAGATAAGTATAAAGGAAGTCGACGAAAAAAAACAAAATTTTTAAAGGTGGTTTCGAATATGTTTACATATGAACAAAGAGGCTAAAATACTCGTAAAGCTTGCATTTTCAAGTTATTACTTGTAACCTACATTTTATTATATCATTACATTCATTATTTCTGTATTAAAATATTGTAGTGTAATCGATTAATTCAATATTTATTTCTATGTATTTTTCTTAATTATACTTGTTTTCTACTAGGTATTCGCCATGGAATGTATTCAAAAGATAATGGGTGCTTGTGAAGCGACTGGGGAAAGCGAACACTTTGATCTCGTTAAAGCTAAAGAAAAGTTGCAGACTGATCCTAACGGTAAGTTATGATAAGTGGTAACAAGATTTGAGAAGATGTTTGGGTTGGTACCATCTTGAACGGTTTTAAAAGAAATCAAAAGAATTTTTTAAATATCTTTTTTTCGCATTCTACTTTGCTTTAAATTTATGAAAGATTTTAATGAAATTTTGTAAGTGACTTTTACGAGAGATTAAAATCCGTTATACGTCGGCTGGCTTCGGGCTTGGTGTTCTTTCTTATAGAAATCTCGCCAATCCGTGCTTGGCCAGCGTGGCGAATTATGGGACGCCGGGTTGAACATAATTACTATATATCTACCTTCGAGACATCTAACACCTCAGTTTCTCCCGTGACCATGATCGCTGAAAAGCATTCGAAACGTTGGGAACCAAAAATCCAAATAAATCCTCGAAATAATCCGAAAAGATAGTTTTATTTAAAACACTAGATATTGTTTAAATATAACATAAGTTACCCGGTCCCAGCGGACTACCTGTCGCTGCACCTGTCGGACCTGGTGCGCATGGCGTTCGTGGGCGCCACGGGCGAGTCGGACGCGCTGCGCCTGTGCGGCCTGCGCACGCTGCAGCGCGTCATCACGCAGTACGCGCGCGCGCCCGAGCCCGACTTCCCCGGCCATCTGCTCATGGAGCAGTACCAGGCGCAGGTTAGCTAAGGGGGGCTTTGTTTTTTTTATTACAACTGGTGATGGTGTGACTCATTATTTTTATTCCGAGCAGATGTAATATTGTGAAGATATAAGTTTTATATTTGTGAGTGTGAGTGACTTTCTTAAATTGTTCCTGTATTACCGATGTATGTATTCTTACCGTACATATAGAATAACATGTCAAGTCGTAATCACTGTTAGCAACTTTATTATATATTGTCTTTTTCTTATTTTCGACATCTTTACAAAGACTGATAAATATGTTACCAAAATTATTAATGAAAAACGGAATATATATGTATATATATATGTATGTATATGTATATATATGTATATATATATATATATATAAATTTAAGGGATACACTCTGTATTTTATCATGCAGAAATCAGTCTTAATGATAACACGTATTAAACTATTGTGCTAAACATTACGAGTAATAATTTATGTAAATTGTAGGTATATATAAACAGGAATACATTGATAAAATTAATTGTAAACCTATGTTAATGATTTATCTATATACATATAATAAAATTGTAACTAAGCCGCATTTGTACATTGAATATTTTTTGGAAAATCTTATTGAGATACACATTATTATCGATATAGTTTTTAGAATTTTTGTCTGTCTGTCTGTCTGTTACCATATCACAAAAAAATCACTGGAGGGATTTTGATGAAATTTGGTATGGTGATAGCTGGTTATCCAGGTCAAATACTTTACCGAAAGAAACCTTTACCGGATACTTTTTACCGCGGGAAAATATCTAATTTCTGAGAAAAAATACAAAAACTGCAACATAAGAGTATACTAATATGTAAAACCTAAGAATTGGTTTTTGGTCATCTGAACGCGGGCGAAGCCGCGGGCAATGCTAGTAATAAATAGATACCTGAAGAAAATCAATATCTATGGGTGTAATGATTACTTTAAAAAAACCAAAGTGAACATACCTCATCAAAGCTCCTCCCTCCCACGCAGGTGGGCGCGGCGGTGCGGCCCGCGTTCGCCGGCGACACGGCGTCGCACGTGACGGCGGCGGCGTGCGACGTGTGCTCCGCCTGGATCGGCTGCGGCGTCGCCAGGGACATCAACGATCTGCGACGGTATCCAGTATACACTCACTATATTTGGATATTTATTGTTTTTGTTAACACCATCCAATGTTAACGTAATTGACGTTAGCAGTATAATTTAGATGAATGTTAATAATGAACACAGAAAAACTTAATAAGATCTAGGATCTTTAGATCTGCAGAAATACATGCTAGCCACTAGACCAATGATCATAAACAACCTTTTCTTACAATTTTAGCGTCCATCAATTGCTGGTCTCTAGTTTGGATAAACTGAACAAAAAAGGAAACACTACACTCATCTATAACGAGAGTATGGCAACATTGGAAAAACTATCCATTTTAAAAGCTTGGGCTGAGGTATGTATTGCGGCTTATTATTAATTATTATTTGTGCTTAGGGTTTGGCTCGTACGTATTTATTATATATTAATATTAAACATCTCGCGATTTTCATGTAGTTATTCACAGTGTGCAAAAAAGTAGAATTTTGTTTTTTTTTTTTGGATATTTGTTTTTATTTATTACTTATGAGTAACCTATGTATCTTTGCTTTTTTGGACGTAAAAAGTTTAATATAATGCCCTTGTTTAATTTTTTTTTTCTATTTCATTTCAGGTGTACATAGTGGCAATGGTCAGCAACGATAGTGCGCCAGGCAGCTATGTGAAGCAACTAGACACCAAACCCGTAAACAATCGTGCCGAATTAGCAAAATGGCGTAATCAACTTTTGCAAAATAACAACGAATTAGATAACGCTAACACAGTAACTCCTGAAGACGAGGAATACGGAGAGTTCGAGTCGAAAGGGGAGAGTTTGTTGAAGCTAGTTGAGCCGGAATTGGAGAGTTTAGGAGAGAATTGGTTGGCTGCGCTGAAGGATCATGCATTATTGAGTTTGCCGCCCGGTGAGTTTTACACTTTAGTTGCATTTACGATTGTAAGATAATATATTTAATGCATCAGCAAAGAAATTGTTGTAATACTTTCTTTTCTATCTTTTATTTAGAAATCAGTAGTTTCTAGTATCTCAAAGAAAAATAGACTTCATGAAGAAGGATGTATGTTTGAACGTAACTCCAAAAATATCAGTCTGATTAAAAAAAATGTTAATATTCTGTTGAATAAAGCGTAATGCAAATCGCTAAGAATCCATAGTCATCGTTTTTGAAAATTATAGACATACCCAAATATAAAACATGTTTAATCTGTCGCCTGTGCGCCCCTGTTATCAGCGGCGTGGCGCCACCGCTATCTATATCTGCCGTGATTCTAAGTTACGAAATACTGCATTATTTGGATACTTTAGTAAGATTGGTATTAGAAAATCTTTGATAGTTAGTGTTTATTAAATTTATGAAAAAAATATTTACTGATGCTAAACGGTGGTTAAATTTGATTTTTACTTACCTGATTTTTTTTTTTAATTTTATTGTGAATTGACAGAGTTCGCGTCGCAACTGCCGCACGGGGGCGGCGCGTTCTACTCGGCGGAGACGGCGGAGGCGTCGCGGGCGCACTACGCGCGCGCCTGGCCCTCGCTGCTGTACGCGGCCGCGCTGCGCTTCAACGCTACCATCGCGCACGACAGGGACGCAGGCGGTGACTAAATAATTATTTGATTTTATAAGTCGTTGAGTGGAAAAGGGGCGGGAAACGATTGTGTTTTGTTTTATGATTTAATGAAATAAGTCATTCTTTTTCGTAATGTTGTTTAATGTATGTCCTGAGCTATGTTTTTTATAAAGCAGTTTGTCGGAGGAAGAGAACTAAATAAACTGCTGCGGTTCCCAAAAGTTAATCCATCAATATCCAGTACATTATTATAGCATTTCTAGCAATAATTTTATGTTAATGAATTTAATGTTAAACATATTACTTTTAGATAAAAATTCAGTACTCAAAGCTGAATTTTCTTTTTTTTTTAATTCCCGCCCTCTCTTTCATTCTTTTACAAAATATATAAAAGTAACGTGTATTTACACGATTGTTTTGTTTTTGTTTACAGAAGAACTTGACAATAACGTCGACAACAGAAGCCACAAGAATGAGAATGGAAATTTTGAATTTTTTGAACCAATTGACGAAAAGTTTCATCTTCTTTTTGGTATGGCTTATAATTTTTTTATTAATCTGTGAAGTTGAAAATTATTCAATTTTAATATTGTATTTTTTTGTGTTAAATATGTATCATATCTATGACGTGCTTTTCTAAAACATCCAGTTCAATTATAAAGAACCATAAATATATAGATATGTATATATTTTGATAATAATATTGTGCAATATTGTTACGTCATTCAATGATTAGTTAGGGGAGGTTCCGTTGAGTTTTAGTGGGTAGTACTGGGTTTGCCGGTGAGTCCCACATAACCACCTGTATGTATGCAGGTGGCATCGGTAAATGCATCTCCCAACATTAAAAAATAACTATTAAGATTCGTGTTATAACACTTATCTTAATAGTTATTTTTTTATGTTTTTTTTTAAATTTATTTATAAATACTAGACTGATTCTTTGCTCGCACGTACAGCGGTAACAAGTGAAACCTATTGTATTTGATAATCCAAGATATAAGCTCTCTCCTGGTCACTGCGTGATCAAGTGACAAATGCACTTCTTCACCTACTTGTGTATTAGTAATATTGTGAATAACTGAAATATTTTTTAAGGTATTTGCATGGAGGCGCTCTGTGCGCAACGCGATATGAGCGTGGAGAACACAATATCCGTGTTGCTGTCTTTAGTCACTCTACTTGATGCTCCTGAAAATAGAGCGAGATTACTCAAAGACAGGTAATATATTCTCTATCTCTAAATTCTTGATTTTTAACTTATTTAAATGTATACTAATATTATAAATAGGTAAAGTTTGTGGGGTTATGAGATTGTGAGTTTGTGACGTTGTAGGGAGTAATCTCTGGATCTACTGAACCGATTCAGATGAAATTTGGTAAGAAGATAGTTTGAGACCTTAGAAAGGACATAGGATACTTTTTATCCCGGAAACCATTCCTTAAGGGGGTGAAAATGGGGATGAAAGTTTGTATTGGGAAGCAAGCTAGGGACACGAACCCGAGCGAAGTGAGGGTGAGTCTCTATTAATAAATATTTTTACTTTAAACGAAAAACATTTAATAAGGTCTTTTCTTAAAAATAAAAATGTTATAACTTTGGTGCTGGTTTGTGACGTCATTGGCGAAAAGTTCATATTATATGGATTGACCAACGTCAATGAAGCATTACTCTATTATTCTTATTTTCATATGATTATTATTTTATATATAAATATCAAATATTCTTCTCGTTTTCATTATCAAATCAATTATTTATAGTGTAAAGAACTAAGCTCTATAATCGTGACTGTCTCAGCAAAACAGTGTAAATGGACAAGAATCTAACCAATAAATAGGCATATCAATCATGACTCCATTAAAATAAAATATTTGAAAATAAAATAGTATTTTTTTATTTCTTTACAGGGCATTAGCTATAGAGTTATGTCAGATCATTCACCGCACCGGCCTCACGCAGGAGAGCATAGAAGCGCTGCTGTTGGCCGCAGACGTGTTGCAGCTGGTCATAGTGGCCGCTAGAGATCAATTACGTGCTGCCATACAAGAAAAAATCACAGGTAATATTGTATTACATACACAATAGTAATATAATCACAGTCTATTAAACTATATAGTCGTGTAAAGAAGGAAGGAGATGCAAGACAGCATTGACATACTTTGTTAGCTAGGAAACGGCTTTAGGGTTGATTTGAATTGTCACGAGATGGCACTATATTGCCTTAACTTGGGAACCTTTTTATTTAAAATTTGGTATTTTTTGACAACCCTTGAATTTGAAAGTATTTCTGTTAAAATCCATGGGCGATTGCCTGTATGGAACATTATACTGTGATATTATTACTTAGTAGTTGAACTATCTCTAAATATCGTTGGTTTAGTGGCCACACCATGTTCAGCTGCAGATCTTGAAATCTTGAGTTCAAGTTTTGAGTCAGGCCAAAAAAGTTATTGGTGTTGTCTTTCAACATTTTTGTAGTAGCAGCGGGGAGGCTGGGAAGTTATCTATTTATTTAGTTATTATATCCAATGTATCCGTTGTACGTATTATCTCCTTATATTTTCTGAGTTTTTTATTATACTTATGCATTAATATTTTCCATCAATGTAATTTAAAAAGGACAGGTGTCTTTGTTATAATATCGCCGAATTTATTATTTATTTTTTTAGTTTGAAACTGTGACCGTTATAATATAATGAGATATACATATAATTTTTCTTTATAATATTCAGAATTAGCACCAAACGAATCACCAGAAAATATACCTCAATCAGTCCTCGAAGTGGTACACACGTTAGGGGAAGGTGGACCAACTGGGGATTTGCCTCCGGGTAAATCTCTAGTTTTCGCGTGTTTGGAAGTCTGTGTCTGCTTGCTTGTTAGAAGATTACCAGATCTCAGCCCTTTGAAGCAAGAGGGGAGGGTGGGGGTGATTGGAGTAAGGAAGGGTTTGGGTGTTCACGGAGATACATTGTTGATCAAGAGTCTGGCTTCTATGTCTGAACTGACGACACTTACTAGCCCTCAAGGTAACTTTTTTTATTTTTAAATACCGGGCTTTTCATAAAGTTGTATTCTTAAGGCATTGCCAGTTAATCAGATTACTAATTTGAGTGCGAAAGTTTTATGTATTCACGCTAAAACACTGAATGTATTTAGATGATATTTAGTACTTGGCATTGCTTGCGGCTCCGCCCGTGTTCAGATGACCAAAAACCAAATTCTTAGGTTTTATGTATTAGTATACTCTTACATTGCAGTTATATATTTTTTCTCAAAAATGAGATATTTTTTCGCGGTAAAAAGTCCTATATGGTGACCCGGATAACCAGCTCTAACCATACCAAATTTCGTCAAAATCCCTCCAGTGGTTTTTCTGTGATGCGGTAACAGACAGACAGACAAAAATTCAAAAAACTATAGATTCAGCCTCAGTATGGATAATAATGTGTATTTCAATAAGGTTTTCCAAAAAACATCCAAATCTAGGCCTAGTTACAATCTTATTATATGTATAGATATACACGAATTGACAATGACTTAAAGAAACACATACGCTACTGCAAGGCAGGTACGTAACCGATGAAGAGAGAATAAGTTAGTAGTATAATATGTTAAGTTAAAAATTATCTACACATATAATAAAATTGTAACTAAGTCGAATCTGTACATTAAATATTTTTTGGAAAATCTAATTAAAATAGACATCATTATCGATACAGAGTACGACATAGTCTATACATTACACATATTATATAACTTTAAATACATACATATTATGAATATATAAACTCGCATGACTGGAGTATAAGCAAAGCGAGTAGGGTGACTACAAACTGAACCAAACGTGTCGTCGAATAACATCGTGTCGTGTGATGAAACGATAAGTATAAGTGGAACTGTTCCAGGTGCGCTATCAGTGCTGCCGACGATCCTGTACCTGGGCACGGAGGTGCTGCGCTGTGGTGGGGGCGCGGCGGCGGACGCGGGCGTGCAGCTGCTGCAGGCGGCGGGCGCGTGCGCGGCGGCGCGCCTGCTGCCCGACACGCGCGCGCGCCACGCCGCGCTGCTGCAGGCCACGCTCGCCGCGCTCGTCGAGAGGGTCAAGGCTGGTCCGTATATCTATACGGATAAATAAAATTAAAGTGTCCGTTTGTAATGTCAAAGTAACAGCGTTTTATTAAATGCATGTGGAACTATGTGCGGTACTTATAAAAAAAAAACATAAATTTTTGTCTCTGATTGTCTGTTTGTTTGTTCCGGGTAAACTCTGAAACAGCTGGACTGATTTTAACAAGCCTAAATAGACTACTTTTATTTTAGAAAAAGAATTAGGGTTCTGTAACGTCCTGTCTATGGTTCCACTAATCCTTTTACCAAAGGTTGTCTGTAAGAGATCGCTCATAGCAATAATACCGCCTTTGCATGCCTCTTTGTTATATTTCTTTTCATCTTCTGTACTCTTCTTTTGTGTGTGCAATAAAGTATTTATCTATCTACTTTTGTATAATACAAATAATGTGTATGATTAGAGGAGGGCGAGCACCGCATCGACGCGGTGACGGGCGCGCGCGCCATGGCGTGCGTGCTGGCGCGCGCCGCGCCCGCGCCGCCGCTGCACTACCCCGCCATCAACCACTTCCGCCAGTGCCTCGACACCAGGGACAACGACGTGAGAACACTTGTGTTTAGCCCTTTTGAACAGATAACAGTCGTTGATTTACCCGACCAATAAACCTCAAAATACCCGGTTTATTTATGATATATGGTCGCCGACGCCAACCATGAGCTTCTGCTCATAGTCGAAAAAATATTTTTTTAAAGCAATTTATTCATGTTTTATGTAGAATAGAATAAAGAAAAAGAACTAATCTTAGAAAAAGAAGTCATTGTAATCAGTTCTCAATTAAACAGCTTTATATTATGAGATCAAATATAAAAAAAAATTCGAACTAATCAACTAAACTAAAATTCCTGCTTTGACTCCGCTCAATGCAAATACCCGTCAAAATTACCCGCCATCAAAAATCGCCTTAAGTTACCTGCTTTTCGGGTAATTTGTTCGCCAATTGGCAGCACTACTTTTAAACCTCCCTTCAATACGAGAGTCAGGCCATAGTCCGCGACGCTGGTCAAGTGCGGGTTGGCGGTTATATGTCCTTCGAAAACTTGCTAATTTCGCACAGATTTACAGTTTTCTTGACAATGTTTTCCTTCACCGTAAGAAAAGTGGTAATTAAATTATTGGCAATATTAAAAATCGAAAGGAAAATTTTTAGATGAAGTGAAATCTAGACACGACAATATGTTAGGCAAGTTCGCAAAGCAAACGAAGATGTGGCATCTATTAGTGTAGTGTTATGTTGTCTGTATATTCAAATGTGGTAAGTTTTGGATATTTAAAGATAAATGTCTTCTTTGATTGGAGACATATTTAATAATCATAATGTATTGAGTACACTTATAATGAAAGCTTAGGCTTAATGCGTCGTCGACTTTATGTGGGGAAATATATGAAAGCTTTATATCTACTTAATTTTATATTATCCTATACTACGCTATATTATACTATATTATAAGAACTTCACACTTCGTGTACATGATTATAATAGACTACATTAAATAAATAAATATGTTGGGACATTAACACACAGCATCTAGCTTTATGGTAAGCTACGAGGCTTGTGTTATGGATACTAGATAGTCGATACACAACACATAATAAATATATAATAATTTTAAATACATACATATTATAAATATAAATACTAATGAACCCATGACTGGTGTGCAAAAATTCGCGTTCATTATACAAATGAATGCCCCCAGCGGGACTCTAGCCTGCGACCGCTGGTACAGCTAGTAGGGTCACTACGTGTCGTCGAATTTCATGGTAATGCGTGGTGGTGTCGTGGTAGGTGTTCGCGACGTGCTGCAGCGTGGTGCGCGGCGTGTGGGCGCGCGGCGCGCCGCCGCAGTGCGTGTCGTGGTGGGCGCGCGCGCTGGCGGCGCGGCTGGTGGCGCGCGCCGCCGCCGCGCGCCGCCCCGCCGACGCCGCGCACGCGCGCGCCGCCGTCGCCGCCGTCTCCGCGCTCGACGACCTGGTGGACGCCGCGCCCGACGCCGCGCGTGAGTACCCTCACACTCGATGGTCATACCCTCACCTCAAAATACCCGGTCTATCCCGCCGACGCCAACCACGAACAGAATACCCGAAAATAGTTTTTTTAAAGTAATTTATTCATGTTTTATATAAAATATAAAAGAAAGTTCTAATATTAGAACAAGAAGTCATACGTAACCAGTTCTCGATTAAATAGCTTTAAATTATTAAATCAAACATTAAAAAAAAAACTTAAAATATCAAACTAATCGGCTAAACTAAAATACCTACTTTCTACTAAAAATACCCGTCAAAATTACCCGCTATCAAAAATCGCCCAAAATTACCCACTTTTTGTGTAATTTACCCGGCATAAGGCAGCGCTGCATGTCGTAGTCTTATATTCAGGGACACTGGTGTCCCTTCAATGCGAGGAGGATCAATCAGGTCATTGTCCAACACGTTGGCCAAACTCGGGTTGTCGGAAATCACATGTCATGTCATACGGTAATAATAATGTCCTCCCAACCGATTTCTGTCATTCCAAATCTCATTGAGACTAGACTCTGCGCAGAAAATATTATAGTGCACAACAAGTGTGGACGCAGACACAAGTGCACTCTCTATTCCTGTCACTCTCGTACTCTGGCGGGCCGTACATGATAGTCATTAGAGCATCGAAGCAGTCAAGTACAGTAGTAAGATTGACGTTGCACTACGTGCGTGGGTTCCTGTCGTGGTTCTGATAACCCTGGACGCCCCCCCCAACGTGCGTTCACCTTGTCGTGGTGGAGGGGCTCAGTAGTGCCCGGCAATCCAACCGGGCGCGAAGCTAAGAAACGCACAGGAAGGTTGCCCACTTCGGTGGGCGGTGGGAGGTGGCCCTCTTCGGGGGGCAGTGTACCATGCGGGTTGCTCCTGGTACTTCTCTGATAGCAGAGTGGACTGTGGAGCAACCCCATGGTTGTGGTGGTCTGCTTCGGCAGACCTGCCGTCGGGGCGTCGTAGTTGAATGCGTAAGCGATCCTGCGACGCCCCATTAAGACGGAGGAAGGTTTTGTTGGGTTTTAGTGGGTAGTACTGGCTGTATTACCGGTGAGTCCCACACGTCGTGCGTAAATGCATTTCCCAACTTAAAAAAAAAAAAAAAACCCTGGACGAGCTGATGGACAATGTGTCGGAAGCGCATATGTTCGTCATAGTAATAGTACAGTTTAAAAATCCATACAGAAGCTGATCGTATTTAATCGTAACGGATATCCAGTTAAATGCAAGTGCTGTTAAAAAAAAAGAAATTTTTATAGACAATGAAGTTTTGACGTTAATAATACTATAGAATCATCTCGCGGCAAGTTACACATATACCCGTCAACCGTACAGCCGTTTCCCGATTTTCGCTTATCATATCAAAATTCACTTTATTCAAAACTAGAATTTTACAAGCACTTTTGAATGGTCAATTTTAAATGTAAATTAAATTAAATGTCAGTGTAGTCAGTCGGTGAATTTACCACGCTATATGTAAAGTAAGTATGCTAGTTGGCGCGTTACCCTCGTCTCACTTCACACGTCCCCCACAATTGCCCTCTAGGCGCTGTTGTTGGACGACTGAATGGATTAGTAGACTGTGGCAGTAGGGTTGATGCTGCGCACGTGTGTATACTGTACGTGTGGCTGTCACTGTTGTGACAATTAGGGGTGGTAGAGATGAATTGAGAATGTATTGGTGAATTCATATTATCACTTTAAATAATCATATTTGAGAAACTTTTAAGATAATCTAAATCTTTTTTCTATTACTTACGTGTCATTTTTGTTTTTATTATTTTATTTAAAATTTACCTTTTTTTTGTCAAACGCCACTTTTCCTGTCATTATGCATGCGGTGTTTATCATTATAAATTGCAAACTATAAAACATCATTGTATATGTATGTATGTAATCGTGTATTGTGTACAACTTGATAAACCAAATAAATAATAAAAAAATAAGTTTTGTTGATATGTTTTACTTTTTGTCACATAATATTTTTTTTATGATAATGTTAAAGTTTTTAGTTATATATTTTTCATTTTTCGCTAGTTACATATAGTACAATACATAATAAGTAATAATATAAATTTCTTTCTGTCCTATAGAGGATCCTCACAAAGGTGAGATAAAACTTAACACAATATCATACGTCATTAAGTAAATTAACATAAATAAACCAATCTTTCCTCTATAACAGGTATACAAATGCTGTGGATTTTAGTGCCTATAGTGATATCCTATCTCCGCGAGGCCAGCGAGCTGACTCGCGCGCCGCCTCACGTACGCACTCTGCACGAGTTCGCGCTCAATTGGCTTATGAAGATTGGACCTAAGTATCCACAGGTTAGGGTTCATTTTGGAATGTACTAATTGTTTAATATAGGTGGCTATACGATATAGAGATGTCCATTCTATGTCTGGATATTTCGGCTATTTTAGTTCTCTAAGTAGATATGTAAGTAAAGATGCCGCTGGCCCGTACTTACTGAATAATAATATTTTGTTTTATTAAATTGTGCAATATATTGTGTAAAATATAGTAATCATTAAAATGATTTTTATTACCTATAACTTTACAGCCGGGGTATATATTGCATTGATAAATGCGTAGTACACATTTTTATGTAATGGTAGATTTTTCAATAATCAGTCAAAATTGTAAAATTTGACAACTTTTTGACAACCCTTTATTTCATTTTGTTTTGCTTACTAGTTTTTTTCAATTAGATATACTTTTTGTATACTATTTCTTTTATTAATTTTTCATAATTTTTTGATCTTTATTTTAACTTATTTTAATTCCTTTCTAATGAAACTTTCTTCAGTTTTCATATGTTATGTGTATATTAATAGTGCTTTTGCTGTGCTGTGTGGTGTGATTCCTTTATAATGCGTAATAAAAAATATTTTGTATTCATAATAATGAAAAAAAATAATATAATTGTTTCTTGAGAAAAATATAATCAATACAAAGACAATATTTATATTGAAAATATTATTTTCAGGAATTCAAAACCATGATGCAGCAATCATCAGAATTGCGAACTAAACTGGAAAACGCGGTGAAGGCGAGTCAGGCGAGCCGCGCCCTCCGCCGGGCGCCTCCCACGCGACCCTCCTTCGAGACGCGCACCCCCAAACCCACTATACAACTGAAGACCGACTTCAGTGACTTCAGGTAAATGGTGAGAAATTGCCATTTTAACATTCGTACTTGACCCAAATCATATACCTTACACAAGCGAACTATCTACTAAATGTATTATATATTATGAAAATGAGGGAAGCCGGTTCAAATCTTGATTTTGCCTGCCTGAAAGGATACAAGTACGAATCTCATTTTCGACATGCACACCAGAGAATGTTAATTTAGAAGAGAACTAATTTTTGAAAGATGTGCGATTTCAAATAAAAGAAGAAATTTAAAAGGTCAAATAAATCAATAAAGGCATTTTGCAATGGTAGATAGTGCGTTCGTTAGTTCGTAGCAACGCCCCCTATTAAATATATCAATAACATACTCTGCCTACGTGACACAATATATTTCGATATATTTTTTTTATTAGCAATGTCGATTAAAGTGACATCTTGTCTAAGATTCTAGGTTGTTAGTGCAAAAATGGTTAAACTTAAATTTTCCCAAAAGATTTAGATCAACTAGAAATATGTTATTATATCAAAAAATGATTAAATAATAAATAGCCGAAGCGTTCACTATAGTTATTTGGACACTAATACTATCACTTTTGATTGAGTGTAAAAAATGGACACTTTTTAGTCCATTTGTCTATATACTGTTTTAAAATGAGGCCACTTTTGCGCTGACATCTTTAAGTTTATAATAAATTATAATAACGTTCTAAATAGAATGTTTATATTAGAATTTATAGTTCTTTAATAATAATTCTAAATATATTATTTGATAGTTTATATTCGAATATTATTTACTTTTAAAACTTACTAAATTTCATTTAAGTTACATAATTATTAATTTATCTATTATTATTATTAAGGATAAATGTAAGAAGCGTTCATTACGTTTATGTACACTACATAGCTTTCTTATTTTCAGTTAAGTAGGTACCTAAAAGAAGTGTGTATTCATGATTAATAAATAATAATCATGATTTAAAAAAAAATATATATTATTTGTGCTATATTTAAAGGTTTTCAATCAATTAAAAATAAGATAAGTGAAGGTATGTAGTGATCGTTTACTAGTCTTTTTTTTTAAATTTTAGTAATAGCATGACAGTCGCAATATTGGGACATTAACATACAGCACTATCTAGTTCCATGGTAAGCTCGTAGCTTGTGTTATGGATACCAGATACACTACACATATATAACTTTAAATATATACATACATGTAATAAATATCAACACCCATGACTAGAGTACATACAATCGTTCTCATCACACAAATGAATGCCCCTAGCGGGACTCGAACCCGCGACCACTGGCACAGCAAGTAGGGTCACTACAAACTGAGCCAAACGTGTCGGCAATCCCATGTGAGAATTAAAATAAAATCTATATAAAAATTAAGGCGTATTTGGCTGATATTTTTTTTAGTGTTAGATTTATATATTTTGCATCACAGAACAGATTTGCTCATAGTCCTAGGGCTGATTGCAAATACACTCCAAGAAAAAAAAAAAGATTTATATGTATTATATTATGTAGATTTCAAATATTTTCTGGTTTTTAATAATGTCCGTATGTTCCCATTTTTTTTTGCGTCAGCAACACATTCCACGAAGTGACACAAGACTTATTCTAAGAAATAGCAATATGTACTATTATATCAATTTCTTTTATGTAAAAGTTTTTATACATTCTATAAGTAATTTGAAAGGGCCGTGTGGCGAATAAAATAGATTAAAAATAAAAGTTTGCAACACTGTCCATTGATGGACAAAATTAATCTATGCATGAGCTCATTTATTTATACAGTGTCTTATATAAGAAAAAAAACGTGTGTGTATACTTATGTACGCACGTAAGAAGTTATACTTCTTTGGCGTAACAGAACAAAAATGGCTAAAGATTTCATCTCGATTGTCACACCTGTCTGTTTGTAAAAGGAATGCAGCTAACATCATCATGTCGCTTTTTGGCTGTCGGTGTGCGCGCGCATCTCAAAAATTTTACGCTCATATTTTTTTCCTAACGTCTAAAAGAAGTATAACTTAATAAAGATTATTTACGTATTCATATTACTATTGAAGATTTCATCTTAAGCATATACATATTTATAGATTTTATTTAATTTATATGAGATGAACTAAGCAGATTTATTTGAGTAGAAAAATTTATTACTAGATGTATTCATTATTTAAAGATTTGAAAAATGCGTAGCATTCTTCCTTTATATATAAAGTGACGTATACTAATGAAATTATATTGATATTATAAATGAAATAGACGAAAATATTGTTGTGATAGAACTAATTTCAACCAAAATATGTTGGTTTCTTCCACTGCCTTTACTAAATAATGGCGTAAAGTTCCGTAATACTGTCTACATTTAAATATATATATATATATATATATATATATATATATATATATATATATATATATATATATATATATATTAGAGTTAGTTGTAAGTGATTTTAACAATAAAGTATGAATTTAATCGTCTAATGTGTTTTATTTCTCCTACAAATATATTATTTATAAGAAATGAAACTTTGTGGTGATTTTTATTATATTTATTTTAGTTTTTACAATTCAAATTTTGTTATTCAAGATTTTCTGCAACAGATAGTTGCTCTTCATTTTTTAGTGAAGATTCTCTCTCTTCATTTTTGGATTCGCCATTTTCTTCTTCATTAAGATTCGATTTTTCTGTAAATGAAAGTAATTTTAGTTATTTAAACAAGCCTTCTCCAAACTGCCTCAAACTTTAAATATCGCACTTGCTTACTGAAGTGTGCTAATATCTGTGTTGTATGCCAAACTTCAGCTTGATTCAAAATTTTGAATAGAAACTTACATAATAGGACATTAATAACATGCTTATTAAGTCAATTGTTATTTTTTTTATTATCTATTGAAAATGATCTCAACTGCCTGTTCATTTAAGAAGAATAATGAAAATCATGAATCCTTTTGGTTTGTCGGTCAAAAAGTACAATACTAACTTCTTATGAAAGTGGGAGGCAAGGTGGCCACGGTGAGGTACCCCGTGTGTCCCGGAGTGCTGGTCGGCCAGGCGCCCACCACGTAGCTCTTGTCACCGCTCGGCTTTTCTTCCACTGGGTTTTCAGAACTCTATAAAAATACATCTTTTATTAATTATATATGAAGGATCAATAAATTCATTTTCCGTCTGTTTGTTTAAATCCAAAAAAAATTTTAACTATAAAGTCTGTACATATATGAACATATATGTATTATATATTTTAAATCAAGAGTGATAATAAAGAAAAGCTATTTATTGTGCATATATAACTTTCATCTTAAATTGATATGTAAAAAGGTTCATTACTTCGTCAAACGAGATATTACAAACATAATTTCTTTATTTTGTACTGTATAAGCTACAGTAAAGGCATAAAGTCATAATTATTTGTGTCGAAGATGTTACAATGCGTCATATCGCCTGTTAAATGTGTAAGATCAACAGACGCGCATTATACACCTGCCGACTGAGTACGTGCTTGATGCCGCGGGACACTCGCGCACGTAACTATTTTTAACATTAAGAAGTTATAATCATACAAATATATTGTTGTAATATCGATATGTCAGAAAAGTATAATTTAATTATGATTGTTAATAACGGAGCGCTGAATATTTTCAAATTTTATATGTAAAATAAAAAGTATCGAAAAAAAGTTTTAAAACAGACATATGGATAGCTAGATTATTTATTGATTTCTTTATATTTGTCACTCGTTTTATGTAGGTGAAAGCTTCACAAAAGTTTCACATAAGTAAGCACTTGGCAACACGAGCGTACCGCAAGGGGGTCAGGGCGCAAGGAGTTATTATCGATGTCACGGATTGCGTCTCGTAAATCGTAACATCTCGTCCTCCAAATAAAGCCACTAAGCGACTTTATGATCCATTTCGCCTGTGGGAAACTTACACTAGTTTACATGAAATAATACTCTTAGAATTTTCCGTATTATTCATTGTATATACTTGTCGTGTTCGGTATTTGTTTTATTTTACATTTCAAAACGTTTGAGGCAACATCCATACCACAGTACTAAAAGAAACGAAAAAAAAAATAAAAGTTACAAATGCATTTTTAGATATTTCATATTGATATTGAATACAATTATCTATTTTATTATTATTCTTTTCTTTGCCTTTTGGCTTTTTGCGTGCCAGTTGGGAACAGTTTATATTAAGTATATCGCCAATGTTGCGTAGTTAAGGTCTTTACATAAGTAGCAATATACTTACTCTATGGGTTTTTATCAGAAAAGATAAACATCTGCTGCCCGCGAGTAAAAATCAAATTTAACCACCGTTTAGCATCAGTAAATATTTATTCATAAATTTCATAACCACTCTAACCGTCAAAGATGAGAAAATACCAATCTTACTAAAATATCCAAGTAATGCAGTATTTCGTAACTAAGAATCACGGCAGATATAGCGGTGGCGCCACGCCGCTAATGACAGGGGCGCACAGGCGACAGATTAGTGCGTTCAGGTGTTATGTACGTCATTACTAAAACGTATTCAATATGTATGTACGCCATCTAATTTGTATCCACCCGCTCTCGTAGACGTATTGTGAGGAAAGCTCGGTCTTTGATGTGCCGATGCGGATTGTAAGAAACAAATTATCGGTAAAATAGTAACTTACGTAAAAGTATATCCATTTATTGTACTTACTGTATAATCTATGTGCTAGTTTTATATTCAGATCCTTGTTTCATTTTATGAATCGATTTAGGCAACATAATTAATATGAATACTTGTATATCTATAAATATGTTACCTAGATTTCGCCAAGGCGTCAAAAGTGTCATATTCTTATAAAGAGGAATAATGTCGCGAGGTCCTCACGAGGTCCTGTATATGTATATGTATATATATATATATATATATATGTATGTATGTAATCAAATATATGACTATAGAATAAATTTTTTAAAAGGTTAAAGCAAGAAACAAAAAAGCTATTATAAATTCAAAAAAATCGTAGATTTATTTATCATTTTCGTCGTATTAATCGACGAGATCAGTCAGCTTCTGAGAAACTTTTAGCCTATAGAAAAAGCTTTTACAAGCGATAAGAATAAGGTTTAAACAGCTACGATACGATACTTATCTAAGGAACATTTTTATGTAATTAAAGCGTAAAACAAGTATGGAATGTGGAGCCTTGGCCTGTGGGAAGATTACACTAATTTGACGCCGAGTACCGAAGCTAACCGCAAAGTGAACTTAACCTAACCTTGGCTTTGATTGGCAAAAACCTATTCACATCAATATTTATGGTAAAATAAACATAAAAATACAGAGTTTGACAAATATAATATTTAAAAATAGTACTATTGAGCAAAATTACAAGTTTGTTTGATATTTTCCTAACAAAACGAATCTATACATTTAATAAAATTCTAGCTGAGTCGAATCTGTACATTAAATATTTTTTGGAAAATCTTATTGAAATAGTCAATATTATCGATACCGACTCTATAGTTTTTCTGTCTGCCTGTGAACGGACGAGAAAACCACTGGACAGATTTTGATAAACGATGATTAAAATGACGATAGGTGGTTATCCGGGTCAACAAATAAGATATTTTTACTTCGGGAAAATATCTCATCTCTGATTAATAGGTATATACTAAACGTTAAAACGTATAAAATAAAAACACTAGCAGCTATTACTAATTTAAAATACGACGTAAAATATTACCTAATTAAAGTTCACTTTAGTTGATTGATTAGATATAGATGCAGAGATATAAACCCACAGAAATCTTAATAATAAGCTAATAGAAGTGGCATAGACGCGTGACCTTGTCGCCGCGCATGTGACTCGTAGGTCACAAGCGCGTGTAAAGCGTTTGTTGCGGTAACTAGTGTTATTTGAGACACGGAGAGGTAAACATGGTGTTTTGCAGCATATCCAACTGCGGAAATTCTTCCACAATTTGTAACTTTACAAATAAAGGGATAACATTTCATATATAAGTACTTAATTTTTGAAATAATGTCGTTTTTAAGAAATATAGCCAAATCAAATGTTTTCACCACCACTACTACGATTATCGCAGGAAAACGTTTTTTTTTTCAATTCAATAACCATTACCACTTAAGCTTGTTCATGTCTACTATTACAACTGCTAAAAGCAGCAATGAAATAATAGTCATGCGTAAAGAACAATATCGTCGCGTACGTAAATTCCAAGGACACGCCGCATAAGTTGACCGCGAATTAGTGACGTGCCACCACTATTTTTTATCGAAAATTTATTACGTTTGGCTTAATATTTTTCGTTAAATATTTAATTGTTACATCTCATTATGTATGTTTTCTTTCTGTCTGAATAATTTAAAAAAGTCATTTATCAACGATTATCTGTAAATTCGTACTTTTAAACTACTTTTTCATTCAAAAAATTATTAGGAGGTAGGCTTATTATTGTTATGTATATGGGTAAGTCAAAAACAGTATGCGTTGAATATCCTTGTATCGTTGACATGTTCCGCATTTACCAATTTTTTTTTTGATTTGATTGAGTAAATAATTCTAAGGGCGAGTTGTTTGATAAACATAACATAGAAATTCTATAAAAAAATTTAAGTCATTGTTAAAAATGTATAGGATTTTAACAAATAGTTTGCATAACTTTTGTATAATAATAATAATAATATTTATTGCAAAGGTATACACCCAATTTAGAATATAATAACATATATGTAGTTATACAAGTCAATTTTTATATCACTTATGCAATTATGCAAGTCAATAAAAACATTATAAAAACAAAATTCAGTCAGACTCTTCATTAAATTAAACTAGAATTAAAAACAATATATCGCTGTTGAGTATATAGTAGCTGTTGAGTGTATAACTATATAATAATAAAAAAATTACTTACTTTTAACGTTTTATTGTATTCCCTTTATGAAAATAAATAAATCGTCTAAAATCACGTGGAGGAATGAAACATAAAATACTTTCAATAAATTAGTTACCTATTGCTGCACGACTCAACGGAAAATTATCGATATGAGCATTATGCGCTTTGTGCTGCACTAGAAGTGAGCGCGCGATATCATTCTATGCTTTTCGCACACGTTTATTATTGGTCGCAGGGATCACGGGTTCTGAGATTATGCGTTTTTAGAAAATATTGCGTAATTTCACCCTCTTAAAGTTTAATTTTTGTTGCAACAATGCAAAATGCATGTGTGAGCGATAGTGTGTATTTATTGTTTGTCAATGTGTTGGTAGCTGCAAGCCGGCGACACGCGTCCCAGTACTAAAAGACCGCAATGGCATTTCTATTACCTTATTATTAAGATTTCTGTGTATAAACCACTTATAAAAATATATAATAACACTAGCTTAAAACTTAGTATATGAAAGTAAGATATCTTTATCACAATACGTTTGTTACGTTACGTTAAGAATAAAAATGGCATTAAGTGCCAAATTTATTCATTTTTTCCTAGAACATAATAAGTCATTCTCATATATTTTTGGAGATTTAATGATTTTACTACTTTTCGACGATTATAGAAACATATCTTGACTAAGCCTCTAGTTATAGTAAGTATTTGAATTAATCTGTAAATAATATTTATATATTTTGTAATTAACTAAATCATAGTTATCAACAAGACAGTTTAAAATCATAATCCAGGCTCATTGGTCGCGAGCCGCGAGTCGCAATGCGCACGCACACTGCACCGCAATTACGTTACATAAATTTATTCAAACTTGGAACGCGTCGTGATCGATGGTCCGTCTTGTTCGGAAATGCAACAAAATATTGTTCTTGCAGTTTTGATTTATGGCTGCAAGTTACGAAACTACCTTAAATCGTTCATAATTTAGGCCATTTAGAACAAAATTACTTTAAATATCTTTTCGTTTTTAAATTTAGAACAAATTATGCTATTCATCACAATTACTGAGTCGCTTTAGTCCATAAACTAGATAAACTGTAAACGAAGCGTGGACATAATCTCATAATACTACTGATTTCTATTGAACGAATTGGATTTTAAGTTGAGATTAACACATAAAACCTCTATGGTGTCAACACAAAATTTAAACTCCCCGACAGTTG